GAAGGTTCCGGAAGCCCCCCAGAACCCCCAGACCCCCCGGAAGGTTCCGGAAGCCCCCGGAAGGTTCCAGACCCCCCGGAAGGTTCCGGAAGGCGCCGTACTGCGGAAGGCGCCGTCGCGCTCGCGCCGCTCCTCGGCGTCGCTCTCGGGGTCCCAGTCCAGGCGTCGCTCCCGCGGCTCCGGGGGCTCCCCCCGCGCCCCCCCCTCGGGCTCCCGCAGCCGCTCGCTGGCACTGACGAAACTGGGGGGCACCGGAGACCCCAGACCCAATTGGGGAGACCCCAGACCCAATTGGGGGGGCACCGGAGACCCCAGACCCAATTGGGAGACCCCAGAGCCAATTGGGGAGACCCCAGACCCAATTGGGGGGGCACCAGAGACCCCAGACCCAATTGGGGGGGGCACCGGAGACCCCAGACCCAATTGGGGAGACCCCAGACCCAACTGGGGGGGCACCGGAGACCCCAGACCCAATTGGGGGGAGCACCGGAGACCCCAGACCCAATTGGGGGGGGCACCGGAGACCCCAGACCCAACTGGGAGACCCCAGACCCAATTGGGGGGGGCACCGGAGACCCCAGACCCAACTGGGAGACCCCAGAGCCAATTGGGGAGACCCCAGACCCAACTGGGAGACCCCAGACCCAACTGGGGAGACCCCAGAGCCAATTGGGGGTCCCAGAACACCCCAGAACCCCCCCAGACCCAATTGGGAGGGGGTCAGGACAGACCCCAGACCCAATTGGGAGTCCCAGAACACCCCAGAACCCCCCCGGACCCATTTGGGGGGGCAGGGGAGACCCCAGACCCAATTGGGGGGGGTCCCAGAACCCCCCCAGACTCAATTGGGGAGGTCCAGGAATCCCCCAGACCCATTTGGGGGTCCCAAAACCCCCCCAGGATCACCCAGAACCCCCCCAGACCCATTTGGGGGTCCCAGAACCCCCCCAAAACACCCCCAGACCCATTTGGGGGTCCCAGAACCCCCTGAAACCCCCCCCGGACCCATTTGGGGGGGTCAGCAGAGCCCCCAGACCCATTTGGGGGTCCCAGAACCCCCCCAGGATCACCCAGAACCCCCCCAGACCCATTTGGGGGTCCCAGAACCCCCCCAAAACCCCCCAGACCCATTTGGGGGTCCCAGAACCCCCTGAAACCCCCCCCCAGACCCATTTGGGGGGGTCAGCAGAGCCCCCAGACCCATTTGGGGGGGTCAGCAGAGCCCCCAGACCCATTTGGGGGTCCCAAGCCCCCCCTCACCTCTCGTAGAGCAATTTCCTCTGGGGCCGGCGCGACTGTGGGAGGGGGGGAGGGGGGGGATGATTTTGGGGGGGGGTCCCGGGCTCGGGGCACCCCCAGCCCCAAAGGGGGGGGGCTCCCC